TTGTTCTTTATTTATTGTTATCTTTTACAAATCCTCTTAGATTGAAAGATCATTTTTTTCTATATATATTAAGGGACTTGGGTTTTCATTTACGAACAAATTGATTATTATTGAATTGAATTACAGAATTTTCCTCCTCCTTTCTTCCTCTTCCCGTAATTTTCCTTGCTAGTACATTCTACATCAGTAAGCTACTGGCAGCGAATCAGGAAAACACGTGGGATTTACACACACTGCTCAGTTCAAAAGAAGACTTGTTCATAGGATATCACATCAATTAACTTGCATGAATTGAAAGCCCTCACCTCCACACCCCCATTTTCTTTGAGGGTTTGTGACACCATCGCAAGTCCTTTTGCTGTTGCTTGTGCTCTAGCAAGGATTGCATCTGCTTCTCCTGTTATTACATAATTTATGGGAGAGGACAATTCAGGATCAGAATATTATGTCACAAGAAAAATGAAAATTCAGTATTGCTGAACCAATTAAAAATCTGTAGAATCTATGGCACTCCAATTGCCAGGTGAATGACTAATGGACAATAGCATCTTCCAAAATCCATTTATATCAGTTTATAAGATTTTGCAGGAAAATTGGGATGCTATAGAAAAAGAGACACCAATAGCTGACAATTTTTGTCGTCATCCAGGATAATTGATAAACATATATTCAATTATATAAGAGCAAACATGGAAATAATTAGCTGCTCGTTGTAAGCTCTAATTTGAACATTGTAAGTTGCAAACTAACCTAGAGCTCTGTTAACCTGGTCCAATTTTGCAGCTTCAGATGCTAGGATAACTGCATTCTTCCTTCCATCTGCAATATTAATATTTGCCTGCCTTTCTCCTGTTACATCAAACAACACATCATGCTCATGAAAGCCAAAAAACGACAGCAAAGGCATTCTGGGGGATTTCCAGTGTACAGTGTACGCTGAAATCACGTAGGAATAAACATATTCTTGACAGGCTTGAGATACATTGCCGGCATGGCAAGCAAGAGAAATTCTGAATTTGAGCAGCAGATAGTAAGAACAATATAATCTCATTCAATTCACTGTATGGGAATTTCTTTCTTTTAAATTCAGTACCTTCTTCAACTGTATAGTAGCAAAAGAAGCCATAACACTCTTATGGATAATCGGATGATTCCTTGAGGGGTTCTAAGAGTAAAACATGTCGTAGGAAAATAAACACATAACCTTTGTTTTTGTTATTGGAAGGAGTACAAACAACCTTTTTTCATCAGAGAAAATAACAGAGATTTCTCCTTGCTAATGGGTCAGAAAAAGTGAAGTGAAGCTTGTAGTTCAGTAAGTCCTTTCCGTGTTACTGGAGTATGTCAAAGACTTGCTAATGAAAGAAAAGGAATTATCACATATGATATCATGTTCACATGTGACAATAGTTAAAACCTTGCTTGACAGCTTGAATCATAAAAAATAACATCTGGCTGAAAGATAGCATTGTTCCTCTAACATTATATAATTTTTCAACTGGCAATCCTCCATATGGTACAACAAATTATATGCTAGATGCGACATTTCAAGACCAAACAAAAGGCTAAATGAGAATTTCTCAATAGAAAAGATAGAAGGAAAACCAGTTACCTTCAGACTCCAAAACCTGAGCTCTCCTTTTGCGCTCTGCTTCTGCCTGCATCTCCATTGCTGCCCTCACTCCACGTGGCGGCGATATATCCCCTGGAAAAGGAAAATTTTCAATAAGTAAATAAGCTGGCAGGGAAATCATGAGGATTTTTTTTAACCAAAGACATTTCAGCATACAGGTCGCTCACTTATCTCATAACGAAGACATTTCAAGCCCCAGTCTTTTGCAGCATCATTGATGGCTATCTGCAAGGAATAAAATTGTAAAGACATCAACTTAAAACATAAAAATAGAACAAGTTCAGTGGAATAGAACTCAATTACGCAAACATGCAATTAATACTAAGTAAACTACCAAATGAAATGGAACAGACATCCGATTTTAAAGAACAATAGCAGATGACAACCACTTGAGAAACAGTTATTTTCAGTTAAAATTTGCAACGAGGCTTAATATTCATGCACTCATTTCCCAATCACAATTGATTATCTGTATGAAAAGCAGAAAGCAGTCACGACAAATAGAAATCATTAGCAAGACCAACTTTTAGACAATAATCTGATTTAGAAGCTAACTAAAACAAACCATTGATTGAGCAAACGTTTGAAAGTTATGGCGCTAATTTTATGCCCGATCTGTTTTCATACAATTCCTTTAAAATAGACATAATCTGATTGGAACGTGATGGTTGTATATATTGAAGAGAAAATAATGCCTTTTTCATCCACTTTCTCAGTTCATGTCTCAGCTTCAATATAAAAGTTGTGCTTCTTGAGATTTTCTATGATTGCACGTGTATCAACCATTTATGATAGCTTGTAAGCTGTCACTAAGAAAGCACTCTCAAAAATGTTATTTAAATGGTAAACATTTGTTGATGTCCTTTGAATTTTTTAATTTTTTTTTTTTCAGTCTAAGCTCAAATACACTACCATTTTTAGGCTTTTAGCATAACTCACCATACCAACCATAATGGTGTATCCTGGCCTTATTTTGTCCACACCTGTACATAATAAATATTTCACAAATTTAAATGTAATTGTTTATGAAATTTCTGTTGATGAGCCACTCTTGTGCACAGCTTTACACACTTTTTCAACTGCACATAGAGAAAATTATAAAATACTTGCCTACTTAAAGCCCATGAAAATCGACATGGATGCTTTGCATTAGGAGATGGTTTCTTATTTTAGAAATGATATACATCCCTTATAATTGCACCATACAACACTGCCTATGAATGCCTTCAAAATTCCAATTTTATTTTATTTTTCTGTAACCAGTACATTTCCTTTCAATATACCACTTGTTTAGCAAGAAAGACTTGCTCAAGAAGTATCTACAAAAATAAAGATATTTGTCTGTTGGAGATTAGATAAGAAGCTTCATATACACAACATACTAAATTTTGCTCCAAATAACTTTGGGGTTAGCCAAATAATATATATATATATATTTTTTTGGAAACTCTGTTCGATCCACAGAACTAACTTCTACTGGCAGCAAAGAGAACTTGCAACCATTACATGAAAGCCTCAAGAAAGGTTGCAGGACAAGATTCAAAGAGCACATTATACAAATCAAAATTTAAATGTCAAACCAATTCGATTAAGAAAAGTAGAGAAATCACACTAATAATCTCAATTTGAGACTTATCCTATAAAATATCATAATGAGATAAACAATTAAACATCAAAAAATAATTTGTAGAAATCTCACCACTATCTTCTCATTGAGAGTGTCTCGTTCCTCAAAAGTCTTGTCTAAAGTGATCTTACCGAGCTCACTTCTCATAGTCGTCTGGGCAAGCTGAATAACTGCATATAATGGGTTCTCAACTCCATAAGAGGCCAAAATAGGGTCCACAATCTGCAGCAAATATTCAGTCCTCATATAAATTCATGATGAAAATCTCATTCACTTTTAAATAAGCCAGCAAAAATATAAAATGCGTGCCTTAACATAGAGGACACCATCAATCAGAATGCTGACATTATCCTTAGTAATAGCAGACTGATCTGGAATGGGAATGGCCTCTTCTTTTAGGGAGTGCACGTATGCGATTTTATCCACAAAAGGAATCAAGAGGTGTAATCCAGGAGTCAATGTCTTCCTATACTTTCCAAATCGCTCAACTACAAATGCCTTCTTCTCAGGAACAATACGGATTCCCCAATTCACTGGTGGTGCAACCTCATACCTTCACCGAAAATTCCATATCATTTAATACAGACTGTTTATAGATCGTATAAACTAAAGACCATAGCAATAATGAAAAAAGTATGAAGCAAAACCAATAAATGTATGGTAACTAGTAAAAACGATGAGTTAATTGAATGATCAATCATCAACATTTACCTCCGGTTACTACTTTTTCACTCAAAATTAAAAGATTACTCATTGCTCACCCACATTCAAAGTTACTCATCCATCACTTATATCAATTCCATCCATCCACTTGGACAAAAAATTCCACATGGCGGATGGAAATCCTACGTGATCACTAATGGTTTTATAATGACAGCATGGACAAAATAAAATCTATTAAACAGAGTTTTTTTTTTTTTAATGGGAAGAACTGTTCCTTTTCTTTTCCATATCCATCCAATTTTTTATTTCCCCAATCTTCACAGCTAAACCCTAATCAATTTCTCCCCCAATTCATCCCCAAATCAGCTTCTCATCAATTTAGTTCCAAGTCAAGAAACTATCTCCTTCCCAAGTTCGTTGAGAAAATGAAGCCAACCTTTCGCTTGCTGGATTTCATATGTTAACCATCTGTATTCCATATCTGTATATGAGTACGATCCTTCCTACATTTCTCTTATTCTTGATGTAACAGGTCCTAAGTTCTATCCCTTCAGTAGCTATTTAAAAAGTTAAATATCAGCAGCTATGTAATAGAAGAATGCTCTCATGTCCATTCGTGGTACATACAAGGACGAGTGTGGTGACATTTAGAGGCAATTGTGGAGGTGGGAGCAGTGGTCGCCATGGCAGCAGGCGCCAATCTTGAAGTAAAATGGGCAGTTAACCGGGTCCTTCTTGGTTTCAAAAATGGAGGCCCAAGTTCTCCACCATTATCGCTTATTGATTGATATTGAGAACTGATTATTACTCAGCTATGGTTTTATGGGTTGATGAACGCAATTAATGGAGAAAAGGGTAGAAGATGGTGTACCAGTATTTAAATTAGAGAAAAATTAGATAAATGGAAACCCCAACTTCTCAAAGAGTGTGTTTTTCCAAGCTGTCAATTTTTAACATCGCCACATATGATTTTCATCTACCACATGAACTTTTTTCCCCAAATGGATGGATGGAATTGATATGAGTGATGAATGGGTAACTTTCTTTAAATGTGAGTAAGCATTTGAGTAACCTTTTAATCCTGGGTGAGCAAGTGGTAACCAGAGATAAATGTGGGTGATTCATCATTTAATTAACTCAAAAACAACTATGATTAAAACAAATAAAAGATGCATTGAAGCCGGCACATTAAAATGGGAACTGAAAAAACAAATGCGCAGCCTAAAATATTATCTAAGTACATAAAACAAATTAAAAGTGACACAGATTATACTGGAAAATTTATAAAATCGAAATTTAGTAATAAATATGGAGGAAATGAGCAAATGCTCTAAATGAAGTAAATACTGAAAAGTACCTGGTGCTGGGGTCACCGGCATGGCGGATGTGGCGGATGAAGGTCGAAATAGGGGCGGGAGGCTGACGTGAAGAAACGTGACTAGAAGGTTGATTGAGAAGCGGCGGAGGGGCCGTCGAGATAGCTCGGCCCCCGCTGATCGGCGACTGAACGAGGCGGAGATTTATCAAGGTCCTGAGCTTATTAAGAGAATTTGATTTCACGGAATTCATTGTTACAGTGACGTGAGCCTACACCAAATTTTGAGGGATTTAGATTAAAAGAAACAAAAATTAAGGGTTTTAGAGAAGAATCAGTAGTAGTTGATAACAACTTATAAAACCGTGTCTGAGGGAGACTAATGGTTATTGAGTAAATTTAACAACCAGTCTATGGGTACAGGAAAATAACTCTGTGCTTATTTGATAAGAGTTTTGTTAATTGATTTTTTGATAGTTAAAGATAAAATGAGTCTTATCTGTGAGAAAAGAATTTCAAAAATAATGGATGAAATAGTGAAACAACAATCAAAAAATTGATTTTAATTGGGTTTTAAGTTGTACCAAACATGCTCATAGAATGTGTACAGGAATTTGAAACTGTTGACTTGGCAGCTTGCATTTAATTTATCCAAAAAAGTGAAGCCAAAAAATCGGGCCAACTCCAAAATCGGTTTGAACACAAAAACTTAACCTTCATTTTCCCTCAAATTGAAATTACAATTTTTCACAATTCCCCCAAAACCCCAAATCACACCCGCCGCTTTCTTTCATCCCGAAGCTGAAGATCGAATCGGGCAGCCCGTGATTGTCCCGCCTACAAACTGACTGTGCCGCGCACCGATGGTCTTAGCTTGAAGACGAAAGTTTCAGCAGGCAACATCACATATAAACTTTCTAAAGCTAATATTACTCCACTTCGTAAATATTGTATGATGAAAAATCAGGACATTTGTCACGTGAGGCAACATGAGCTGCATCTTGGGATCAATAATGTCAGTGCAAGAATGTTCTTGAAAGATGAGAAATCAAGCTTGTACTATGCTTTTGTCATAAATTTTTTTTTTCCTTCAATCATTGTCCATCGCCTGCATAGATTTCTTTGATTAATTGATGTTCACTTGCAGCAAATGTATGGAAAAATTCATATAAACCCATACATTTATACTAAATCATAGAAATCACATTTTTGAAATTTGTAGCTTAATCTTGTCTAGAATGATAATTTTTATGATTCTATTTCTCAATCATTCCTTCCTTTTTCTTTTGACATGTTCTTTTGATGTTGTTCAATGACTTGTTGGGTGCAGTAATGTAAGATCACATTCTCCTTTTCTGGCAATTCATTTCGCCTGGACAATTGTTTTACTGGATTTGAACGAGGCTAGTGAATGCATAAACCCCAAAATTGATGTAATTTGTTTGTGGTGAATTTGGCTTATTTGAAAAACTTTTTATATCATTGATTTTTATTAATCTTAGCATGATTTAGGATTTTGATAATCAATGACCTTATTGTTAATCGTTACAGCATTATGGTTGGCACCGGCGAAATCAGAATGATCAATCATGAAGTCTATTATTTAGTAATAAATTTTTTATCAATAAATTTATCAATCAAAACATAATCACAGCAACGATCAATCTGCATAGATCAGAATCCTTAAGTCACAATAAAAAGTTCAAAATCTTTCCACTATTTTTATGCATCTTTCACAAATTCATGTCATATGAGAAACACAAATCCACGCCATTAATTTATTACAATGATTCACAAGAAAAACAATGATATGAAACATAAATTCAACCCGTTAATATATTACCACGGTTCTCAAAATAGTAAACTTGTGTCCAACGCTCGAATGACGTTGAAAAAATTAACCATTGTACTTTAAAACCTACTAAATTCAAGAAGTTCATACCTTAGAAATAAAACTAATCTTTGTAAGTTTGTACATTACAAACAAGACATATGGAAAATACTTGACATCACCCATTGAAGTTGGTCCCTTTCCTTTCTCATCACATTCGAAAATTCCTTTTTCTTTGTGAAATGTTACGTGCAATGATATGTCGATGTCTCGTTTCTCGATAATTCAAGCTAGACTGTCAAAGATTCTTGGCAAGTCTTCATATTCTTTGTTGGGCTTATGATTCACCGATTCATTAACGATACTCGATTCCCCAATTAAATCTTCATTTTTCACCCAGTCGAAATACCCACAGTTGTTACTACACGTGAAGAACAAGCACCCTTTGTTTCCACTATCCCGTTCGACCTCAAAACATTTTTGAAATCCACGTTCACATGAAGGGCATCTACCTTTTGTTTGGCATTGTCCAAAGTAGTGACAAACTCCGAAATTCCTCTCTCATTCTAATCAACCGTTGAAAAAACAAATAAACTACCATGAATGCAACTGAATTACGGAATCCCACTCTGGAACTTATGTTCAAAATAGAGCAAATAGTTAGCCATAGATGACCCTATCAAAATGAACTAGACAATGAACAAATCATAACCATTATATTCTAGTCATGCAGTGCTATAACAACTCAAACTTAAGACTGTACCTTGAACCAAAAAATAACAGAGGTAAAACGTGGATGTTCTCCATCACAAACATTTTCATTCGTTTGATTAAGAAGTTGAAAAATGACAGGAGTTGTAGCTAACACATATACAACTCTAAAATTCTAAATCTCTACGTCATTCCAAATCATGTTTTTTCCCTATCAGAATAGGTATCTACACAGCCATCCTACATATGAGAAATCTTAATTCCTAACCCAATGACTCACGCATCAAACATAATTCGACTACTGTGACACGAAATAGGGAAAAAATCAAACTATATCTACAACCAAGAATCTTCATTCCTAAAACCCAAACAATCACACATGGTATCTTGCATCAGAAGGTGGGAATTTATTTCTTACAGATGAAGTAAGCGAATGAACCTTGAGAATCGGTACCGGGACTGTGAAGGCGGGACCCGAAATCGCTTGTGGGAGATTTTATTTGCATGCCAAAACGAAATTTTTTTCGCGTGCCAAAACGAAATTTTTTTCGCGTACCAAAACAATGGGACAGAAAATCTTGCCATGAATGCTCTTCCCCCACGTCGAAAGGCAGGGACAATCAATGGGCTGCCGGATTTGCTTCGGGTTCGGGATGAAGAAAGTGGCGGGGAAGGTTTTTCTTTTTCGGGAAGGAAGAAATACCTATAGATAGCCTAAACATAAGAGCAATTTATAAGATTAGATATGAAAAAATAATTATTTGAAAAATAGCCTCTGAACAATATTTTTTCCAAAAATACCCCTTATAAAGAATTTGCAACCAAAGTCACTATAATGTATGAAAACCTTCAATTAGATACTCAAAGAAATATAGATCATAAATTTCTAATAAATTTATATCCAAATATTATACAAAATTTTATTGATCTAAGAAATGCAACAGATAATGAATTAAATTATTTAAAAGAAGATCTAAAAAGTTTCTTTACAGAATATTTAGATCCAAAATTAAAATATAAAAATGTTTATATAGATAGAAGAGCAATCAAAACCAAAATACATAAAATAATTCTTAACCTGGAAAGAAGAATTAAAAAATTAAATATAATTATTAACGAAAAAGTCTTAACAAAAGATAGTGAATTTTATAAATTCTATTGTGATATTTTAAATACTTATGAATATTTTAATTGGCTCAAAAATCTTAACCCCTCCGTTGCACATTCCGAAGAAATGGTATCAGAGTCTTGTTACGAACCTAAAATTATGATGAACATAATAGATGAAGAAAATATAATTGAAGAATTTTTGAAAAAAGTCAAAAAATATAAAAAACCTAGTTATCCCTATTTACCTAAAAACACCACAAATGAAAGTTTTGAGGATATAAATAAAATATTAGAAAATTTAGAACATAATCTACAAGTAGGAAATGCTCTATTAGATAAAAATCTTAAAGGAAAAGAAAGGATTATAATTAATCCACCTCAAGATTTTAGAATAACTCAAAAAGAAAATAATAAAGGGAAAAACATGAAGAAAATCAATATATGATTACAGATGTAGAAGAACTAGAACAAAAATTTTTAGAATCTACTAGTGAAAAGTATGATGAAAAACAGTTAGAATAATTAATTGAAAATATGGAAAATACAAAGATGAATACTAATCCATCATCAAGTCGAAATATAAAAATAGAATTCAGTAGTGATGAAGAATATGATTATCCTTATGGTACTACAATACCACTTAAGGATGGTATTAAGCAATGTAGGAAAGCACAGAAAAGATACACTAGAAATATAAGAAAACAATCCATAAAAGAAATAAATCTAATGAAATCTTATAATGAACCAATCAACACAACAGGAGTATGGTTAGATCTAGACTGTGTAGATAAAAATAAAGCTATTGAAACATGGATGAAAAGTACAGATTTAACAAATACAATTTAATAAATGACAAACATATACAGCTTTTGAATTTATATAACATACATTCAGAGGAATTGTTTCTGAATGGTGGAGAAAATTACTAGAATCTATTAAAGGAAGAGTAAAGTATGGAGATAATAGAACTGAAGTATTAGATAATAGGAATACTTTAAATGAACAAAATATATAGAAAATTTTAAAAAGGTTTGAAAAAATCTTAAGAACAGAATTTTTAGGAGATAGATATGCTTCTAATGAAGAAGAAAGAAAACAAGATGAATATAATGAATGAATGATAGCAATGAAAAATTTAAAGATATGTGATATGTGTGAATTAGAAAGATATACATGTAAATTTGAAGAATTATACTATATATTAAATCAAGGAGATTATCAAGAAAATAAATCCATACTAAGGTCTTATTTTTCTAAGTTACCATTCCCATGAGGAATTAAGCTATTAAAAGAATATGAAAAATTATTACCTCTAGGAGAAGAAGAAGGAGTAAAAATAGATAGTCTTGGAAGTAGAATTGAATTTACAAAAAGAATGATAAGTATGTGGTGCAGAGAAGCCCTAGAAAGTAAGAAAGCATACAGAATAAGAAAAAATCTGTGTTGTTACAAAGATATAGGCCAAGTCGAACAATTTGGATGCCATTAGAAGAAATATAAATCATATAAGAAATATAAAAAAAAATTCAAAAACTACAAAAAATTCAAGAAAATGAATTTTAAGCCACACAAAAAATATTTCAAGAAAAGGAATTGGAATAAGAAATTTAAACCAAGAAATATTAAAAAATGTAGATGTTTCATCTGTAATGAAGAAGGACACATTGTCCTTCAATGTCCTAAAAAATGATAGGCAGAATATAAAAACTCTTAGAATTTATGAAAAATTCCAAGATGA